ATGGGAATGGGGTTGGGCAGGAAAGTAGAGTTGACAATTATCAGATCAGCAATGATCTCATTGAATGGTGGAGCAGACTTGATTTGTTAAATGACCTGCTTGTGCTCCTACATTTTGCAGTTTGTCACTGTGTGTCAGTAGTGGAGGACGTTGAGTCATAGAGTCATACAGTACGTAAGCAGACCCTTTGGTCCAATCACTCCATGCAGAACATAATCCCAAACTAATCTAGTCCTATCTACCTGCTCCTGGCCCATATCCCTCCAAAATTTTCCTATTCATGTATCCATCCAAATCCAAATGTCTTTTGGTGTTGTAATTGTACCCACATCCACCACTTCCTCATGAAATTCATCCCACATGCGAACCACCCTCTGTGTAAAAAAAAATCCTTGTATGTCTTTTTTAAATCTCCCTCCTCTCACCTTAAAAATGTGCCCCCTAGTCTTGAAATTCCCTGTCTCAGGGAAGAGACAACTACCATCAACTCTATCTATACCTCTCATTATTTTATAAACTTCTATCAGGTCATCTCTCAACCTCCTAGGCTCCAGTGAAAAAAGTCCCAGCCTATCCAGCCTTTCTTTATAACTCAAATCTTCCATACCTGACAACATCCTGGTAAATCTCCTCTAAACCCTCTCCAGCTTGATAATATCCTTCCTATAATTGGATGACCAGAACTTGACACAGTATTCCAGAAGAGGCCTCACCAATGTCCTGTACAAACTCAACATAACATCCCAACTCCTATACTCAAAGGAGTGAGCAATGAAGGCAAGCATGCCAAATGCCTTCTTAACCATCTTATCTATATGCGACACAAACTTTAAAAAAACAAGTACCTGCACCCCTAGGTCCCTCTGTTCTACAACACTACCCAAGGCCCTATCATTAATTATACAAGCCCAACCCTTGTTTGTTGTACAAAAATACAATACCTCACACTTATCCAGATTGAACTACATCTGCCATTTTTCAGCCCATTGACCCATTTGATCAAGATCCCGAAAAAATCTTAGAAAACCTTCTTCACTGTCTACAATGCCAACAATTTTGGTGTCATCTGCAAATGTACTGACCATGCCTTCTATATTCTCATCCAAATCATTTACATAAATGACAAACAAATGACGACCCAGGGCCAATCCCTGTGGAACACCGTTGGTCACAGGCTTCCAGTCTGAAAAGCAACCCTCCACCGTGACTGTCTGTCTCCTGCCATTAAGCCAATTACCTATCCAATTGGCAAGCTCACCCTGAATCCCATGTGACCAAACTTTACTAATTAGTCCACCATGAGAAACTTTGTCAAAGGTTCTATTAAAATCCAAACAAACAATGTCTACTGCTCTGCCATCATTAATATTTTTGGTAACTCCCCAAAAACACAATCAAAGTTTGTGAGACACAATTTTCCTCACACAAAACATTTTGAATATTCCTAATCATACAGGTCATGCAGCACGGAAACAGACCCTTCAGTCCAACTCATCTATGCCAACCAAGATTCCCAAACTAAACTAATCCCACTTGCCTGCATTTGGCCCATATCTCTCTCAACATTTCCTATTCATGTAGCTGTCTAAATGTCTTTTAAATGTTGTAACTGTACCTGCATCTACCACTTCTTCTGGCCGTTCCTTCCACATACTAACGGTCCTCTGTGTGAAAAAGTTGCCCCTCAGGTCCCTTTCAAATCTTTAAATCCCTTTTAAATCAGTTCTGAGGAGGGGTCACCGGACCCGAAACGTTAACTTTGCTTTTTCCTTCACGCGTGCTGCCAGACCTGCTGAGCTTTTCCAGGAACTTTGTTTTTGCTCCTGATTTACAGCATCCGCAGTTCTTTCCGTTTTTATTCCCTTTTAAATCTTTCTCCTCTTACCTTAAAAATATGTACCCTAGTTTTGAACTTCCCCATCCTAGGGAAAAGACCTTTACTATTCATCTTATCTATGCCCCTCATCATTTTATAAACATCTATAAAGTCATCCCTAAAGCTCCTATGCTCCAGTGAAAAAAGTCCCAGCCTATCCATATAATTCAAACCCTCCTAACAACATCCTTGTGAATCTTTTCTGAACCATCTCCAATTTAATAATATCCTTCCTATATCAGATCAGAACTGTACACAGTTGTTGAAAAGTGGCCTACACAACGTTCTGTAGAACCTCAACATGACATCCGAACTCCTATACTCAATGGTCTGAGCAATGAAGTCAAGCGTACTAAATGCCTTCTTAACTACCCTGTCTACCTGTGGCACAGCTTTCAAAGAACTATGTACCTGAATCCTTAGGTGTCTCTGTTTGACAGCACTACCCAGGGCCCTACCATTAACTGTATAAGTGCTGCTCTTGTTAGAGGGAATCGAATCAAGCAAGTTGCTTTGTCCTGAGTGGTGTTAAGCTTCCCGTTGTTGGAGCTGGTTTCACCCAGGATACTTAATTAGCTAACATAGTAGGTGAAGAGGGAAATGGTAGCAGGTGGAAGTAGGCACTGGCTTGGCATATGAATATGATAGACATCGGGATGCATGGGACATTTGGTTTCATGAGTTGGCATGGGTGAGGTTTGGAAAAGTGTGGGGATGAGCATGAGAGCGAGTGCAAAGGGTAGAGGTCAGAGAGATTAATATTTTTTTCCCTTTTGGAGAGGTAAGGTACCCTTTGGGATAGAAAATGATATGCTTATGAATTAAAAAGTACATAAATACATTAGGTTTGCAAAATTTTCAAGAAAATATCCAAACAATGTAAAGTTATGAAAAAGTGTCCACTATTTCAAAGTGCCTTCCCACATAAAGCCATTTTAAATTTGTGCTGCTTTACTGATTGCCTAAAATATCATCGACACAATGGGGTGCCTTTTGATGGACAGCTCCAACTACTTATTTGATTGAAATGTTTGTTGATGTAAAGGATTAAATGCCTAAGTCAGAGCTTTTAAAAATGTTTATTTACGTAGGTTATTGAATTCTCAAGCTACATGCTTATTTACACAAGTCGTTGAAACACAAGTGTAGTATTTGTTAACATACATAATTTAGTTAAACAGTATATTGGATTTTTTAAATCAATAAAAGTGGTTTTGGTTTCAACAGTGACATCATCGATATACTGGTAACTTTATTTTCCCTCCTGATGAATGACCATGCTGCACAACAGGTGAGTTGACATGGGAGGTGGGTGTAAAATAATTGGTATAAAAGGTATAAGGGCCACCACAGCAGTTGGGGTAAAAGACATATATGGAGCCATGGAATTAGGTAGATGGGCACCTTTGGCATAGAGGGTAAGTGAGACATCAGTGATGGGTAATTGGACATAAATTGGCAAGGGGCTATGGTGGGGTCATACAGAAGCAAACAGGGGCATATGTTTGTATGGATGGGGGCATGGGGAATGAGGGCTGTTTTTGTTTTAAAGTTTATTCTTAAACTTTAAACAGTGCCAGAGTCACTAGGCAGGCTTTCTGCCCAGAGTGCCTCAGGAACCAGGCAGCTTCCTGAACTCCTCTGGGTCACCTGCCCCACCTCTCAATCCAGCCCAGCCTGCTAGACCAAAAATTGAAAGTGCAGGTGGCCATTTTCAAAGGGCAGCAAACTGGCATTTCTCCTAACTCTGCATATCTGACCTGGGAATGAAAATCAGGACCCAAGCACTTAATCATCTGTTCTCATTCTCCTAATCTGACTGAATATCTAATTCTGCTTTATAGTGCTCCTCTGAAGCACATCTGTTGTTTTAGTTCAGGAAGTTGCTAGATAAATGCAAGTTAATGCTTTGTTGGTGAACTCACTGACATTAAAATTCTCTGACCTTTTGCTGTGGCACTGGTGATTTTATCTGGATTCTGCTCAAATGGAATCTATGTTTTTAAACACTTGTTGGCCTCTACCATGTTGTTCATGCCCAGTCAGAGAAACAAATAGAGCCGTGATAATCTTCCCATCTTGCAGTTAGGAGCATTGGGTTCAGACCCGAGTCTAGACAGAATGACAACTGGAAATTGAAGCACCAGCTCTGAAACCTGGTAGATTTCCTAACAGGGGTCCTTGCCTCTGATAGGTGTGGGTGAACCCCTTCTTTAATTCAAACCCACTTTTTAGAAAGTGCTCTTAAGCATTAAAGCCATGAAGCAACCAATAGTTAATCACTTTAGCTGCTATTCCCTCTTAAGTGGTTCAAGAGTCTCTTATGTAAAACTTGAGTTAGGCCAGGACCTATGTAAGAACATAAAGGATGGACTGCGTGAAGTAATTCATCTATTGTGTCAGCCTTGCCAGTGATACTCATAGCCTATGAACTGATGAAAAATGGATTGAGGGTGAAAAAAGCTTCATTTATTGAAGAAAATTTTTAAAAACCTCTATTTGTACTTCATTGTGAGAAAACATCTGATAGGTTATTAAGAAAATACACCTTAGAGTGAACAACTGTCCCTCAGTTTCCACTTCCTAACTAAATTTTCAGTGATTTCAGCCAAAATTCCAGCATTATCTGCCAAAATTACTTCAATGTTCAGCAATACCAGTTTTTACAACTGAATGAGTGTTGTTTTCATTTCCCCCATTCTATTTGGACCTTAAAAGAGGTACGAATATTTGCAAATAAAACGTCACAAAACAGGGGGAAATGAAAGGCAGTGCACTTTGAATAAAATGTAGTTCACTCAGTTGACCAAAACGAAAATCAGCCTTTGCAGTCAATAGTAACTTAGATCAACACAGACGCACACAGACAAAAATGAGTCAGAGGAATCATTGCCTTCAAATAACTAAGCCTACAAATGCAAGTTCCTTTCTTCGGAAATACATTACATCCTGAGGATAAACAGCGTCCAGGTTTTGAATTAGTGCACGCATTTTAATTACAATGTACTTAATGGGCTGATAAAGTTGGATGTCAAAATGAGACAGCAATAATATGGAAATGAGAAATAAACGCGATTGAAAGGCAGACGTTTACAAGAAAGCCCACAGAAGGTGGGTGAGTGCCTCAGTGTCTAGTTTTTTTTCCTCTCTTGCTCTGCAGTTCCTTGCGAGCAGCTGTCCCGCGCGCGTGCGCACTGGCGACCTGGAAATTTGCTACTCGTGACAGAATTTGGGTAAGAAACGGTGTAATTTTTAATTTTAAAAAGAAAATAAGCCAGGAGCAAAAGCTCTCAGACAACGAATGGTGTATCTAGGTGGCCCCTCCCGCCGGGCTGGGAATTTAACTTCCTCCCTCCTCCCCTCAATTCCTTTTTTTAAAAACCCCACTCCACTCCCTGGCGTTTATCCTAATTGCATTTGGTGCAACTTAAATAAAAGTAGTTGCAGAGAAGCGAGTGGCCGGGGACTGTATGTGTGTGTCTGCCTGCAGAGCAGCACAAGTCCCCCTTAGCAATTAGAAATAAATGATTAATAACGGGGAGAAAAACTAATTTAAATAGAGAGGGAAATAGTGTTTGAGCAGTGCCGGTGAATGATGAGTGTTGATAGTTGGAGATTATAATAATTATTACAAACACTGAACTCTCCTGTGACACAGACCATTTTATGGAACCCGGGCAAAGTGCGAGGCTTCCATTGGAATGGGAGCGAGCCGCCGCTCGATACAATGTTTCCGCGCCGCTCTCTCATTCCCCCCTTTTTTTGTTTACTAAAAGAGAAAGGGATGCAACAAATTCACGTTTTAAAATGCAACGTGTCTCCTTTTTAGGCCTTTACAGGAATATAGACTCCGCCATTTTGAGAAACTGCCCAAATAAAATACAAGAAGTGTTTGAGGAAGAGAAATCTCAGGGTGGATTCTGCAAAAGAGAGAGAGAGAGAGAGAGAGAATGTGAGGGGGGGTTGGAAAGAACGAGATGTTGAGAAACTGCCCAAATAAAATACAAGAAGTGTTTGAGGAAGAGAAATCTCAGGGTGGATTCTGCAAAAGAGAGAGAGAGAGAGAGAGAGAATGGGGGGGTTGGAAAGAAAGAGGGGGGAAAATAGATATAGGTAGAGTCCAGGCATGGAGAGAAACTACCGAGTTTTTTTCAGGAAGTGCACGCAATTGTGATGCACATTTAAATTATTAAATCCTCCAGTAGGTTAAGTTTTTTTTTCTATTTGTTAATCGGGTACCTAGGCTGATTGACAGTGTAAGGATTAGCTACACAATTTATAATCTAAAACTCACTTGATATCCACGAATTTAAATTTCTATCAAATGAACCTCGGACTTGACAAGAGGAAAGTCTGACGACGTTATATATAAAATTTAAGTTTCATTTATTTATCTCCAGGGTTGTTTCAAGTAACGTTAATTCATATTCATTTTTTCGGTAAATTGGGTGCGAACGCTGTTAATAACGACAGTAAGTATGTAACTGAAATGCATTTTCTTTTGTGTTCATTATTTGAAACTACTGTGCATAGTTGAGTGCATTCTGGAAACTTTCAAGTACAAAACATCTTTTTTTAAAAGATAATGCAGAGCGACCTCAAATGGTTTTTGTCTAGAGGTGCAGGGAAGGATAGTATATTTGGCTGTCAGGATGAGGCGATTGTGTTTGAAGGTAAATATGTGAAGTTAATTGTTCACATTTAAAGGCACTGTTTGCACGCGTTTTGTTTTATCCTTCAATTAGTGTAATTTTATTTATTGCTGAAACAGTCAGAAATCATCTTTTAATCGGGACAGCCCAGTCCACTATGCATTCTTTTGAGTTAAGTGTTCTGATTGATACAAGCATGAGCTGAGTACATTTGCCACTGATTCACATGCCACTGGGGAAACTGTTCCAGGCTGTCTTTCAGGATTGGAGAAATACTGTTGGAATATTTACTTGCTGTTGATTGTATTAAATAAATAATTTTAACAAACTCAAAGTAAGTTTCAAACTATATTGTTCCACCAAAACTATCACACTTGATGAACGTTGGAGGAATTTGACAAAAGACACAGTCCTTTTTCTGATTTTCTGCTGGTGTTCTTCATCATATTTGATCAGTGAGGAATGGGACCACTAGTTTTTGTTTAATTGTTTTGTCTTGGTGCTACAATTAAGTCAGATCACATTGAAAATACAAATGTTCTGCTGGAGTTGAGGTCCATCTCCTTATTGTTTATTTTTGTCTCATGATGAAATTCCAAAATACAGATATTTTCTTCTAATGATAACTGTGACTAACAAGGAAATGAGTGAGCTTTATTGTCTTGCATCAGATGAAATTGACAGTTAGTTACAACTATAAGGTATTCACTCGTCCAAATTTGTAATTACCAAATTTGTTGCATTATCCAGCATTTATTCAATGCCTATCTGCTCTATATGTGGCTTAGCAAACCCACTACACCATTTGCTAGAGTGAACAATTGATCGAATGACGTTCTCCTTTGTGTTAGATTGGCTTTGTCCCAAATGCTGCACTGAGTTCGACAACAGTTGCTTAAATGAGTGATAGTTTATGGAGGAAGGAAGTTGCTGTCGGCAAATTGGTTTCTCGGAGGAATATTGTCTTGTTTATTTTATGTACAAGGTTCTTTTATCAAACTTGGGCCTTTCAGTGGCTCAATGTACTGATTTCTCTTTCAAAATTTTTGAGAAGACCACTTGTTTTTCAGTTTTACTTTTTGAAGCAGCTGACTACCTCCTTTGAGTACACTTTCATGAATACTTATCACTCTTTGACGCTATTACCTGTACCTATTCTTTAGTTCATATTTTACGTTGAGAAAGCTGGCAAGCTTTTTGGTTGCATGGAGAATCACAGCAGCACATACTGCTGTCAATCCACAATCATTACTTGAGGGTATTAACAAACTATTTCAGCTGACCTCACAATTGTCTGATTGGAATTTGTCATGTCATACTTGAATGAAGGATCAGACAACCATAAGCACAAGGAACAGGAACAGGAGTTCAGCCCCTTGATCCTGCTTTACCATCCAGTAGGTTGATGTGATATTCCTTACGTCCACTTTCCTGTCCTTTCTCCATAACCCTGATTCTCCTACTGAACAGCAATCTGTGTATTTCAGATACAAGGACTCTGTCACCGCACGTCTGTGGCAAACAGGTTTTTGAATCAAATTTAAAAAGAAGAGACAAAATGATAATGTGTTATTTTGCTTTAAATTCGCATAGTGTACTAAACCACAGTGGAGCTGTAAGTATTGTGAGTAGCTAAGGCAGATACAAATTACTATGACTGAGTAAGTCTGGTACTACCATACCTTATGATGCACCTGAAATCATGTGAGAGCGTGATTAAAGTAATGAGATGCATCTTTGCTGTGATGTAAAGTTTGGGCTAGCATATTTCATTAGATTTATTATTGAAAGTAGGTTTTACAATCAACTTTAAGCAGTAGATTTGTTTAAAAATGATGAATTGAACATATGTAAAAGTTGAAATGAAATATGATTTGTGGAGAGATTGTTGAAAAGTGATTGAATGGCTTCATTACCTTGTATCACAGTTTAATCTAGACAAAATGAATCCTTTCCATTGTTGTGAAAATCTCATGATTAAAATGGGCAGCCTGCTGGATTTCTAAGAAGTGATGTTTTTGATGCCTAGGCATTGCTGGGCTGCCACGCATCTTAATCTGTGCCCTTCAAGTTTCTAATGTATGTGTATTAGAGTTACTTTTATGTAATCACTGCTATCAAATTGGTATTCCTTTTTAATTATTTTCTACAGTTGAGCAATACCAGATATCTTAGGAGATTTTTCATAACACTCAACAAATATACATTCTGTTGAGGAAAGAAAGATACTACAAGACAGATGCTTCGTCTTTGACAACTACGAAAATTTAAGGATGATATCCAATTGAAAGAAAAATTGCCAATACTGTGAAGATTGGTAGGGCAGAACACTGGCAACAGTTTAGAATTCAGGGAAAGTTGCATTTTTTTTAAAAAAGGGGGAAATTAGAATTTGAGAGTAAACTAGGGTGAAATTTTTTGGAAATAATAGAGCTTCTACAGTTTTTAATAAAAGGAAGGGAGCTGAAGGATGGGACTAGAGAATTAATACTGGGAAATAAGGAAACGGGACAGTCTTTAATCAAGAACTTTATATCAATCGTTATGGTAGATGTCACAAAAATCTGTGGACAAGCAGGGCAAATTAACTGAAAAGAATCAATACCACTAGAAAGAAACTCCAGTTATGGGTGTACTAATGGGACGATAGGCTGACAGGTTTTTAATATCTATTCGTGAGATGTGGATTGCCTTGTGGGCTATCACTTATTGCCCAGCCTTGGGATCCCATGAGAAACAGGTGCTGAGCTGCAATCTAGAACTACTGCAGTTCATTTTGTGTACGTGCTCCACAGTGCTGTTCGGGAAGGAGTTCCAGGATTTTGACCCAGCGGGACTAAACGAATGATGATTGTATTTCAAAGGCAGGATGATGAGTGGTTTGGTAGGAAGTTGCAGATGGTACTGTTACAATGTAGCTGTTGCTCTTGTCCTTCCAGGTGGTAGTTGTCATGTGGTGGAAGGTGCTGTTTAAGGAGCCTTGGAGAATGTACGTGTTGCTGATGTTTGACCTGATGCCGTGAGACTTAATGGCATCTTGACCCAATGTTGAGTACTCTTAAGGGTGACTTTTTTCTGACTGTATACCAATGTGCTGCCACCTCTTCTGCTGAAGGTGCTTTTTTAGACAAGGTATGTAAGGTGTGATTTAATGAGTATGATTTTGTTTGCCTGTGTATTGACTAGTCTGTGAGATAACTCTGGCAATTCTGGGCCCCACAGATATTTAGTAAGGAGTACTGGGTAGCTTGAGTTTGCTGTTGTTGTTGTTTCCAGTCTATAGATTGATGCTAGGTTGTCTGGTTTTGTTCCTATTGTGTACTTTCTTTTCTGTTTTGATCTGACTGAATGGCTTGTCAAGCTATTTCAGAGTGTATTTAAGAATTAACCACATTGCTGTGGGTCCAGAGTCCCATTTAAGTCGGACAAGGTCATGATGGCAGTTTTGAGTCCTTTAAAGGACGTTAGAGAGGCAGATGAATTTTACATCAGTTGACAATGGTTATCACTAAACTTTTAATTTCAAATCTTATTGAATTCAAACTCTACCATCTACCATGGTGTCTTTTGAACCTGGGTCT